TTGCGACAAAAAGTATCCCCAACCAACCCATCCAGAAATGATACCAAGAGGGGGTTGAGGTCATCAGGGAAGTGGGGGAGCGTGCAGGATAACAAAATGCGGGGGAAGCCGTCCGATACCCCAAGAGGGGGAGGATGGTGGAGGAGAAGGAGGAGGAGGAGAAGGAGGAGGATGGCGAAGAGGAGGAAGGAGGAATAGACAGAGGACAAGTAGGAGGAGGAGGAGGAGGAGGAGGAGGAGGAGGAGGAGGAGGAGGAGGAGGAGGAGGAGAAGGGGCATCTTAGCGAGCTCAGGGCTTTCTTTGAGCGTCTTGGGTGCCTCGAGCATCATCTTGAGGCCTCCTAGGGGTCTTTTGGAAGCCTCTTGGAGCCGTCTAGGCGCCTCTTGGGGCCCTCTTGGGGCGCTCTTGGGAGCTTCAGGGGCGCTCTTGGGACCATCTTGGAGGACATCGATCAAACAAGATGGGAGTTCCAATTGGAGTCGCCCCTCGGGAGCCCCAAAAGTCGCCTCTTGGGGCGCTCTGGGGGCGCTCTTGGAGCACTCTTGGGCACTCTTGGGGCTCTCTTGAGCCTCTCTTGGGGCCCTCTTGGGCTTCGGATGGCCATCGGAAGCGAAAAGACGAGACAGTACGACACATCGACTTTCCTTAGGTCTTGGAAGGACTATGGCATCTCCGGGGCCTCCTTGGGGAACTCTTTGGCCACTTAAAGCCATCTTGGAGCGGTATTGGGGCCTCTTGGGGCATCTTGGGAGCCATCTTGAGGCATTTTCGGGTATCTTGAGCCATCTTGGAGCTCATCCTGTACTCTTCCGAGGCGCTCTTGGAGCCATCTTGGGCCATCTTGGACGCTCCAACCCCTCGGGGGACCCCCCGTCCAGGTCCAGAGGAGGGGGTAGGGGGACGGGTCAAGTTAGCCAGCTCGAAAGAGCCAGAGGGCTCCGTCCACTCCCACCCGCCCTCCCACAACATAAGAAGGAAGTGCGTCGCGTCCGACGCCTGTCGCTCATCTTATATCGTGGGCGGCTATGCGCTCAGCGCGCGACATGAACTGCGTCCTATTCCTGCCGTGTTGAGCAACGTCGACGAGGAACAAGACCGCGCGCGATGTACGCCGCGCCCCGCTCTGGCCTCTCATGATGCATCGTCGGCGACAACATGTCCAGCGCGCGAAGTGCGCCGCGTCTCATTCCAGCCACGCGCGTTGTACCGCCAATCGTTTCGCTCCTGCCGCGCATGGAGGAGGGGGAGGAGGAGGATGAGGAGGAGGAGGAGGAGGAGGAGGAGGCGAGGGAGAGAGGGAGGGAGGGAGAAACTGAGGAGGAAGCGGGGAGTGCTTCTTGGGAGTTCGCGGGGCGTCCTGGGAGCTTTCTGGCATACGCCTGAGGGCCTCTTGGATATATCTTCCGGGTTGGAACATTGTCAACACAAGTAGGTGCCAATCCCACAATCCTTCAAACACCAGATGAAAGTCAAGATTTGTGTTGCCCCCCCCAGGACCTCCTGGACGCCTTTTTTCGACCTCTTAGGGGTCTCCTGTGGCACTTGCTTGAACCGCGCTTGCTTGAGGCATTATGATTTGCCGCCCGCCCAGCTCCTCAACCCGACGGGCCGCAGCGTCGACGACAAGAAAGTCCACGTTGACAAGCAGGCGTCCCTGCGCGATGTGCGCCGCGTCCCATTCCCGCTACGCGATTCGCAGCGCCGACGAGGAGAAAAGACACGTTGGCAAGAAAAACGTCGATGTTGCAGTGTTTTTTTGTCAGGTAAGACGGGGGGTCCAGCGTAGGGTTGGCCAGGCGTCCGCGCGCGATGTGCGCCGCGCCCCATTCCTACTACACTGTTTTGCAGCGCCGACGACAAGAAAGTCCATGCTGATGAGAAAAACGTTGACTTTGTATTGCTTTCTGATAGGTCGGACGCGACCACCCGCTTAGGGCCTCCCAAACGATGCCCATTCCGTCATATTCCTGCTGCATTTTTCGTAATTCGACGACATGCTGGCGAGGGAAAAGTTGAGTTCGCATTGTTTGTTGTCAATTAGGATGGCGGGATCAAGCTACCAACCCGCCCGCAAACCGTCTAGCTCACCCCCACCCGCCCTCCAAACACATACGTAGCACCCGAGCCTGAGCATGTTCAGCGGTGGTCTTTGGATGGACAGCTACTGGGAACCAAAGCAGGCCCCAGGTGCGCGACGCTTGGGCGAGGTGCGCCACTCGTGCCAGGGGCGCCACGCGCGCCAGGCACCCCTGGGGCCCGAGCGTGCCAGGCACGCCTGGTGCGCCAGATGCGCCACGTGCTCCGAGTGCGCTAGGTGCGCCGCGCACTCCAGCCGCGCCAGGTGCGCCACGTTCGGGGCACGTGGAGAATGCGTCAGGCGCGCCTGCGCACGCGACAGCACACATCGGGAAACATGTCGGCCCCCACCATCCTTGTTTAAAGCCAGTGCCCATCATTGTGTTTGGTGGGCTTGCGCACAGCAGGCCACGCGCCACCACCCCTGTCGTTCCTGTCAAAAACCACTTGGCAGTGATCGGGGGGGTGGCCGCGCATGATCCAGATTTAGCCTCGAAGTGCATGTTGTATTGTTTGTTGTCAGGGATGGTAGCCCTGCTCGCAGCAGGGGGTATGCTGCCCCCCCGCCGTCTTTGTCAAAATCAAAACAAAATGCTCGCGGGCCTTACGAACAGGACTCGAGATTTTGCCCCAAAGTGTACATTGTATAGTTTTCTGACAGGGATGTTGGGGGGGCGCATCGGGTTGGCCGCGCAAATTCCAAATGTGGACGCAGAGTGCGTTTTGCATGGTTGTTGTTGACAGGGATGGTGGGGGGTGGCCCGCATGGGGTTGGCATGGTTCTGGGTTGGCCGCCTGCCGGGTGGGGAGGGGGTGTATATTAATAAGGAGATGAGGGGCAGATGGAAGACAACACACCAGACCACTTACGCCCGAAGGGGCTGGTGGGATTAAGCAGCACGCGCGGGTGCATTGTAGGCAGCCCGCCCTGGTCATTGGCATTGGTCTTCACGTTTTGTCCGTGTCGTCCATTAGGTCGGTTTCCCTCGCGTTACGCATCTCATTGCGATTGTAGCGGCGAACGAACAAACTGCGCACGCGATGCATGCAACTTACGCTGGGAGCAGGTCGCTCTTGCCGCAGTAGGGGCCCGTCTTCCAACCTGCGGCCATGTTCTCGTGCCAAAGATGTTTGCGCCGCCTCCCTGGTCACTCTCAGGCCTTTTGGGAGGGGTCCCTCGTCGCCACGGCTCGGCGCGGCTCTACGCAGACCCCGCGCCTCCTCGTGCCCAGCCTCGCTCCTCGCTCTTGCACCTTTGCGGGGCCAGCCGCATCGCCACGCCGGGGGGCCAAAAACCGTCCACCTTGTTTTCCTGGGCGGCGCGAGGAAGTCTGGGAACAAGGTCTTCGAACATGCTTTGCATTTTTTCGCCCGCCTTCCTGTGTGTTGGATCCTCGTGTTGAATCTGCAGCGCCGCGCGTCTCCTTTCTCCTCCCCCTCCCCCTGCCCCATCCTCCTCCTTCCTCCTGCCCTTATCGGAGGCTCCACTTATGACCCCAGCGGAGGTGACCACATAGCGTCCCCCCCGACCACTTTTGCGCACCCCTCACACGTCTCCCGCCGCCGAATGAGGCTCCACCTATGGCCCCGGCGGCGGTGACCAGCAGGAGCCGGAGCAGGAAAGGCCGACGACGACGACGACGACGACGACGACGACCAGACGACCGACCAGACGACCAGACGAGGGAGCGGGGCTGGCCAGAGGGGCCAGACGAGCCGTCTGCGGCTTCGGAGACGGCGCAGACGACTTCCCGGGAGGGCGCAAGGGCTTCAGAGAAGCCCCGCCGCCCTCTCAGCAGATCCGCCCCCACTCACCTTCCCCCCCAGCTCGCCACCGACCTTCGCCCGCGTGGCCGCGCGAGGGCAACGCTGCAACCGCGGGGCGCGCCTCGCGCGGGCGCTGAGCGTGAAGTTTGGCGGCCTGGAGCTTCAGATGGTCGCTTGGACCCGTGGGACGTAGGCAAGGGAGGCGGCGGCCTGGGCAGCCTTCGACCCCAATCCACCGTGTCGCCCGTGTCGCCCTAGACCCTGACAGCTGGGTGTCGCGGAAGAGCATAACACGCGCACCAACAACACAAAACGGGCGACGTACCCAATAATCTGCCACAAGTGACCAGGACAATGGGCCCACGTGTTGCGGATGATGGTTTGACAAGGGACGCTATGTGTTGTGAGAGTTGAGTGGGAGGATTGTGCGTTGCCGGATTATCGGGAAAGGCTTGGGCGAGGCAGTACGGTATGAGATGTCATTGACCAGTCAGCGAAATTGCCGACAACCAGGAGTATTTTCTCAGAGTTGGATGCCAGTGTGTGGAGCTCTACGTGCGCGGAGCCCTGAGTGTGGAACATGTCCGAACCATAAGAGGCCAAACAGCCACCGACACACACGCAACAGACAGGGTCAGTTAAGCGGGAAGCAGGGAGACATACGAGGCTAAACCATAGGAGTCCAAGCAACCAACGAGAACAGGTCCAACAGGCAGTGTCAGTCGAGTGGGCGGGAAGCCAAGACCAACCAATCACCGGAGTGCGTGCAGCAGACAGAGCGAGCTTCTGAGAGCGCAAGTAAGACGCACAAAGTACAAGCATTGTTCAAGCATTGTTTGGGGAGGAAGCAACACTCATTCTGTGCACGCACGTTAGGGCCTTTTTGGCTGACACTTGAGCCCAGACTTTTGCAGATTATTCAAGCTGCAGCTAGCGTGCAACACAATGACGGTAAAGCGAGGAAGCGATAGTAGGCCCAGCATCGGAGAAGTAAGCGAGGGCTCTGATACCCTATATGTCTGAATGGTTGTTCACCCGGTTGGCGACGAGGAGCCCGCGTTGGCGGGTCCGACTTCGATGTGAGGCTTGCCTGAGAGCAGAGGACAAGGAGGAGCAAGGGGAGGAGAAGGCAGACGAGGAGGAAGCGGAGGAGGACGAAGGGGGACACTGGCGCCGAAATGCGCGTGCCCGGCCGCACTCAGCCACTGTTGCTCACGTTACCGCAGCCCGCCGTCGCCGCTTGGGCGTTGGGGGCGCGTCTGGGAGATGGCGGGCGGCTAGCGGGCCCGCGCGGATGTCCCGGCGCTGGAGGGTGGTCAAGCCGGGAGGCGTGGTCGTGCGCCGCGAGGCGAATTTGGCGTCCCCCGCCATCGACGCGAAGTTGTGCCACGGCGCGGTCGTTCGCGAGCTGGAGTTGCGTGGCCTCCGGCTGCAGTACGAAATCGGCGGCGAGGACGTCGGGTGTGGCCCACGCCTGGGCTGGGTCACGGTCGCCTTGGGCAGCGGAGAGGTCTTGCTGGAGCCCGAGGGGGCGGAGCCACCGCCACCGCCTCTGCCGCGTCTCGCCGCTGGCACTGTGCCAGGCGACCGCCACATGCACACCGACTCGGACGGCGTGCTGCGAGGCCACTGCGTCGGCTGTGGCGGCTGCAGCTTCTGGCGCTGCAGCACCTCCGTCGGCGTGCAGTGGTCACGGGGCGCGCCGCGCAGGCGAGCGGCCGGCCCTCGGCCGTGTGGCTGCGCTGCAGAGGACGATGCGGGGCGCTGGGAGCGGTGCGAGGCTTGCGGTTGCCACGCGCACTTGCACGCGGACCTCACGCCGTGGCTCCAGAGCGTCTTCGACTGCCTCCACGAGTTCCGGCGCTTCGGGGCCAACGGCGTACGGAGGCATCTCCCAGCCAGGTGCCATCTTCCAACCGACGCGTACCAAGGGTGGCGCCTCGAGGACGTGGCGCTCTTCGTCCTCACCGGCAGCTTGCTCGATCCGCGTGCTGCGGGCACGCCGCCCGACCCGGCACCGTGCGCAGAGAGCCGCGGCATCCAGGCTGGCCCGCTGATCTCAGTGTGCGTGCCGACCAGCACCCGGCGCCATCGATTTCACCGGCTGGTCTACAGGAGACCGTGGTTTCATCCCCTGGCGCGTGACCGAGGGTGGGGGAGGAGGAAGACCACGACACGATTCGCGCCGGCGCCGTATGCGAATATTCAGGGATGGCTCATTCCCAGACGGCGCCGGCCGTCATGGTGACGTGACAAGAGGAGGGGGGTGGGGCCGGTAACGGGCTGCAGGAATTTCGTCCGGCAGACCCACGAGCCCAAGCAGCTCGTGGTCGTGGACACGGGGTCGCGGCCGTCCCCGTTCTTCCGCGGCCACGAGCCGACGGCAGACTCGCGCGAGGCGTCCGCAGACGCGCGCGTCCTGTACCGCTTCTTCCAGGTCACCGACGCCACCGAGGAGAAGCTGGAGCTGTCGCGCGGGCTGCAAGGAGTCGGGCGGTGAGCTATCTCTAGTTATGCACGAGCGCACCGCTCCCAGCCAGTCCCCGTCCTGGGCCCAGGATCGGTGCGTGTGCCACTGTCCTCTGAGGAGGGGAAATAAATCGCACAGACACAATTCATCGTCGATTCCGAGGAATATCTGAAAATATGGGAAGTGGGAGGGGCGACGAAAACCCAGGAACAATTCAAAAATCTTGGGATTTGTATATGCGTGTGTGTGTGTGAATGTGTGTGTCTGTGTGTGAATGCGTGTGTGTAGGTGTGTTCGTGTGTGTGTGTGTGTGAATGCGTGTGTGTGTGTGTGTGTCTGTGTGTGTGTCTCTGTGTGTCTGTGTGTGTCTGTGTGTTCGTTCGTTTGTTCCCCCGCCTAGTGCGGGACGCCGAATCTTCTCACCTTCTCAGCCCAAGCCGCGCGCCAAGGTGAACAATGCAGGCGGCGGTGGGTGAGGGGGAAGTACGTGGGTGGGGCAGGGTCCGCAGAGCAACCACCCAACACCAGAATAGACAACCCGCACGCTGCTCTTGGAAGGACCCAACCGCCAGGACCGGCCCCATCCCCGCACTGATGGACCCAGCATTTTCACAAACACACGCGACGCAAGACAACCACGGTGCTGCAGGCCAAGCGCTACATGCAGCTCATGCTGTGTGCGCGTGCGTGTGTGTATGTGTGTATGTGTGTGTGCGCGTGTGTGTGTGTGTGTGTGTGTGCGTGTGTACGTGTGTGCGTGTGTGTGTGTGTGCGTGTGTGTGTATGCGCGTGTGCGCGTGCGTGCGTGCGTGCGTGCGTGCGTGTGTGTGTGTGTGAATATGTTTGTGTGCGGGTTTGTGTGTGCGTGGGTTTGTGCGGGTGTGTTTGTGGGTTTGTGCGAGTGTGTGTGCGTGTGTGTGTGTGTGTGTGCGAATGTGTGTGCGGGTGTGTATATATGTGTGCGAATGTGTGTGAATGTGTGTGTGAATGTGTGTGTGTGTGTGTGCGTGCGTGTGCGTGTGTGTGTGTGTGTGTGTGTGTGTGTTTGTATTTGTATGTGTGTTTGTGTTTGTGTGTTTGCGTGTGTGCGTGCGTGCGTCCGTGCGTGCATGCGTGCGTGCGTGCGTGCGTGCGTGCGTCCGCGCGGGCGGGTATGTGCGCGCGGGTGTGTGTGTGTGTGGGTGTTTTTGTGTGTGGGGGTTTGTGTGTGTGGGTTTGTGTGTGGTGTGTGTGGTTCTGTGTGTGAATGTGTGTGTGTGTGTGCTCGCGTGTGTGTGGGTGTGTGTGTGTGTGTGCTCGCGTGTGTGTGCGTGTGCGTGTGCGTGTGCGTGTGCGTGTGCGTGTGCGTGTGCGTGTGCGCGTGCGTGTGCGTGCGCGTGCGCGTGAGCGTGTGCGTGTGTGTGTGCGCGTGCGTGTGCGTGTGCGTGTGCGCGTGCGTGTGTGTGTGGCTGTGTGTGTGTGTGTCTGTCTGTCTGTCTGTCTGTCTGTCTGTGTGTGTGTGTGCGTGCGTGCGTGCGTGCGTGTGTGTGTGTGTGTGTGTGTGTGTGCGCGTGTGTCCCTGGGCCCCTTGATCCCTGGCCGAGCCAGGAGGGCGCATGCCCCGATCCCGGCCCCGGATGGCCCAGTCTAGGGTCTAGGGTCGGTTTGGGCGTCGCGTGATGGGGGACGACAAGAGAAGGGGAGACGGCGCGAGCTCTAGAAATGGGGCCCTTTAGGGCCCCAAAGGGTGCCATTGCTGTACTGTCAACCTGCATGGTATTGATGGGCAACCTTCCCAAGGGTACCCTTGCACCCTTGCCTCATCGATCCATCCTTGGCCGCTTTTGTTGGCCGCGCCCCGCTCGGAAATCTCCGAAACGGCTTTCGAAGGCCCTTGCATCCTTATCGCGCATCCTTACTACACAGGCTGACTGTAGTGGAGGCCTCCCAGATGGGGTCCGAGTAGATGACGTCGGAGGATCGCGCCGCCTGGCCGATGCATCGGTGATGCATGGGCGATGCGTCGGCGATGCATCGCCGACGTCGGCGTGGAGAAAATCGGGCTCCACATCAAGCCGTATCGCCGATGCATGGGCGATGCGGCGCGATCCTCCGACCCCATCAAATCGGACCCCATCTGGAAGGCCTAGAACTAGGGCCCGAAAAGCGCACCTATCTTCCCCGCCCACTGATCGCCCCCGTGACAATCGACGCCCAATCGGTGCAGGTGCAGACTTCTCCTTCCTCTGAGGAGTCGGCCCCCTTCTCGGCATCGGGTGGTCGCTGGGCCTGAAGCGGAACATCGCGGTGCACCTCTCGGAGGGGGAGGTGCTGGCCCACTTCGACGACGACGACCTGTACGCGCCAGGGTACCTCGCTTTCATGCTGGGCAGGCTGCTGGACACGGCGCGGGCGAGGGGCCCGGAGTGGGAGGACGGCGCGCGCCGGGGCGAGCGCCCGGCGATCGTGACGCTATCGGAGTGGCACACGTTCCACCTGCTCGACCGCACGTTTGCGTACCTGAACCCCAAGGTCGACCGCGGGGTGCCGCGCGCGTGGCTGGACGAGATGGTGTACGGCTGGGGCTTCTCCTACGTCTACACCCGTGCCGCCTGGAGGGCTCAGCGCTTTCCGGACCGCGAGACCTGGGAAGACAACGAGTTCATCAACGGCCTGCGGAGGAGGAAGGACGTGCTCGTGAAGCCCGTCGCGAGGCCAGGAGACGTCGCTGCCCTGGTGGCCCACACGCTGCACCCCGACAGCACCAGCGGCGGCGAGTTCGACGGCTTCAGGAGATTGGGCCAGGCGGTGCGCGGAACGCCGAGGGGCTTCGAGGAGCTGCTGCCGCTGGCAGAGGCGACCCTGAGGTGGAGGCCTTTCGTGCTGCCAGACCAGCGGGTGCCCCTTGCGCCAGACGTGCAAGAGCACCTCCGCACGGGGCAGGCCGCCGCCCCAGCCGAGGCGAGCCAGGACGTCGCGGCCGCGGACCCAGAGACGCAGAAGGCCAAGCACGCCTCGAGCCCGCAGTCGCAGCAGGCCGAGACACCCTTAGAACAGCTGCGCACGCTCCCGCAGCAGGGCACCGCGGCTGCGGACGCACTGCCGCGGCAGGCGGAACCGCCCCTGGAGTTGCAGCCCCCGCAGCAGGGCGCCGAGCCTTCAGTCCAACAGCCACAGCAGGCCGACCCCTCCATGCAACAGCTGTGCGTACTCTCGTTGCAGAGCACCGCGGCTGCGGACGCACTACCGCAACAGGCGGAATTGCCCCTGAGGCTGCGGCCTCCGCAGCAGGCTGAGCCTTCGGCCCCGCAGCCACAGCAGGCCGACCCTTTACTGGAACAGCTGTGCGTGCACCTGCAGCAGAGGCCCGCGGCTGCGGACGTACTGCCGCAGCAGGCAGAACTGCCCGTGGAGTTGCGGCCCACGCAGCAGGGCGCCGAGCCTTCGGTCCCGCAGCCACAGCAGGCCGACCCCTCCATGCAACAGCTGTGCGTGCACCCGCAGCAGGGCACCGCGGTTGCGGACGCACTGCCGCAGCAGGCGGAAGTGCTCCTGGAGTTACGGCCCCCGCAGCAGGGCGCCGAGCCGTCGGACCCACAGCTACAGCAGGCCGACCTTTCACTGGAACAGCTGTGCGTGCATCCGCAGCAGAGCCCCGCGGCTGCGGACGCACCGCCGCAGCAGGCGGAACCGCCCCTGGAGTTGCGGCCTCCGCAGCAGGACGACGAGCTTTCAGACACACCGCCACATGAGGCCGACCCTTTTGAACAGCTGTGCGCGCACCCGAAGCAGCGCACCGCGGCTGCGGACACACTGCCGCAGCAGGCAGAACCGCCCCTGGAGTTGTGGCCTCAGCAGCAGGGCGCCGAGCCTCCGCCACAGCTGCAAAAAACTGAGCCTTCCCTGGAACAGCTGCGCATGCCACTTCAGCAGGGCAAGGCGGCTGTGGACTCACTGCCGCAGCAGGCGGAACCGTTCTTGGAGCTGCGGCGCCCGACATTCCCGCAGGAAGACGCAGTGGCTTCGGGCCCAAAGCCGCAGAAGGCCGAGACCCTTGTGGAACCGTTGCGCATACCCCCGCAGCAGGACACCGCGGCCCTGGACGCAGTGCCGCAGCAAGCGGAACCGCCCCTGGGTCTGTGGCGCAGTGCTCTGCAGCAGGCTTGTCCAACAGCCTCGGCCCGGCGCTGTCAGTCCAAGGAGGAGCGGCCCACTGGCGGTTGCACCACGTCCATGGAGAAGATCGCCAAGGCTTGCAACCTGCGGCAGCGCGGATTCTCCGCCCGACGAACTTCTGGGAAAAACGTTGGGGCGCTATCCGAGAGGGAGATGTTGCTGCTGGCCAAGAGACTAGACAACATGACCTCAAAAATGGAGGCCATGGTGCAACAGCTGAGTCAAGACAGGAGGACTGTCGTAGACATCGTCGGGGCCCTGGCCGACATCGACGCTGCCGGTCGGTCCTGCTACGAGAACGGCCTGCAGCTCAAGAAGGACACCGTTGAGAGCATCGACCGTGGCCCTGCGGACGCAGCATTCGGGGACAAGTCGTGCTTGGAGCCAGGCCGGGTGTCTCTCGGCAAGGCTGGGGCGGAGGCTCCGTCTGGCGACAGATGTGCCGCCGCCGATGCCAGGCGGGCTGTCCTGCCAGGGCCTGCAGCCCAGCGGGCTGCCGCAAGGCTCGGGGCAGTCGACGAGGAGCACGGCCTCGAGAAGGCGACCACCGTTGGCGCGGCGGAGGCCGAGGACCAGGAGGAACCCTGCGGGGGAGGCAGCCGCGAGGCGGCTGTCCTGCCCCCGGCGAAGCCAGCAGGGGACGGCGACGGCAGGGCAGCGGCCGCGCGGAGGCCACCGAGGTCAGTCGAGGGTTCGCACGCACACGAGAACCAGTCTGTCGCCCTCCTGATCCGCAGGTTCGACAGCCTGCCACACCCGTGCGCGCTGGGCCCTGGGCGGGAAGACCCGCGCAAGGCCGGGGTGCGGCGCCCGCGGGGCCGGTGCCGAGTCTCGCCTGCTGCCGCGGCGGTGCAGCGGCCGCAGCGGCGCGGCGGAGCGGCACCCGAGATCGAGGCAGGGTGCGCCGTCGCCGAGCCCCATGGCGATGGCCGCAGATTGGTGGCACTCGGCGGAGGCTGCGGCGCGGCGGCTCAGACCGCGGCCGAGCCCGCGGCAGAGCTGGGGGTCGAGGATCGAGGGAGGGCTGGCGCAGAAGCCCGCGGTGAGGTGTCGGGCGCCCTCGCCGAGCCCGCGGCAGCGCCCGCGGACGGTGGCCGCGGGGAGGCGGCGGACCAGGAGAGGCTCGGCAGAGACGGTTGCGTCGGTGCGGCCGACGCTGCGGCAGAGCCTCGACCGGCAGAGCCCGTGGGGCTTGGCCGCGGGGCGGCGGCGGCCGCTGGCCCGACTCCCACGGCGGGCTGTGCGGCCCACTCCGTCGCCGATTGGATCCGACAGCTCGATAGCCTGCCACGGCCGACCGCGCTGGGCCCTGGGGCGACGCAAGCTGCGCCCCGCGGGGGGCGGCAGGTGCGCCCAAGCCAGGAGGGCCTGCGTGGAGCCGCTGTCCGACGCCGAAGAAGTCGATGCCGGTTCTTCGCCTCCGTCGCGGTGGAGGAGCGCCCGAGGCGTCGCGGCGAAGCGGCAGCGGCTGCAGGCGCGCCAGATGTCGAGGAAGGGTGCGCCGTCGCCGAGCCCGATTGCACTGGCCGTGGGCGGGCGGCGTTCGGCGGAGGTTGCGGCGAGGCGGCTCAGACCGCCGCCGAGGCAGGCCCCGCGGACGGTGGCCGCGGGGAGGCGGAGGACCAGGAGAAACTTGGCAGAGACGTTTCCGACGATGCCGGCGACGCTGCAGCAGAGCCTGTGGAGGACTGCCTTTGCAATGCAGCGGTGGCCGGCGCGCTACATGCCAACGAGATGCCCGCAGAGTGCTGCGTCGGCCAGTCTGTCGCCCAATTGATCCGTCAGCTCGACAGCCTCCCACGGCCGATCGCGCTCGGCCCTGGCGCGACGCCAGCCACGCCCCGCGGGGGACGCTTACGCAAGCCCGCGGTCCGACGCCGAAGAAGTCGATGCTGGTTGTTGGCGCAGGCCGTAGCTTTGGACAGCCCGAAGCGTCACGGCGAAGCGGCAGCGGCTGCAGGCGCGCCAGATGTCGAGGACGGGTGCGCCGTCGCCGACCCCGCAATCCCCACGGACGGTGGCCGCGGAGAGGCGGAGGACCAGGAGAAATTTGGCAGAGACGTTTCCGTCGATGCAGACGGCGACGTTGCAGCAGAGCCTGTGGAGGACTGCCTTTGCAATGCAGCGGTGGCCGGCGCGCTACATGCCAACGAGATGCCCGCAGAGGGTTGCGTCGGCCAGTCTGTCGCCCAATTGATCCGTCAGCTCGACAGCCTCCCACGGCCGATGGCGCTGGGCCCGATTGCCATGGAGCCGATCGCGCTGGATGTCGAGGCAGGGTGCGCCGACGCCGAGCCCGATGGCGATGGCCGTGGGTGGGCGGCACTCGGCGGAGGTCGCGGCGAGGCGGCTCAGACCGCCGCCGAGCTCGCGGCGGGGCTGGAGAGCGAGGATCGAGGGACATCCTGCGAAGAAGCCTGCAGCAGGGTGGCTGATGCCGCTGGTGAGCCCGTGGCTGCCGAGGCGCTGGGGCCCGAGGGCCTGGGGAGGCGCTGCGGGGAGACCCGCAGAGAGGTGTCGGGCGCCCTCGCCGAGCCCGCGGCAGCGCCCGCGGACGGTGGCCGCGGGGCGGCGGCGGACCAGGAGAGGCTCGGCAGAGACGGTTGCGTCGGTGCGGCCGACGCTGCGGCAGAGCCTCGACCGGCAGAGCCCGTGGGGCTTGGCCGCGGGGCGGCGGCGGCCGCTGGCCCGCTGCACGCCACGGAGCCTCCCACGGCGGGCTGTGCGGCCCACTCCGTCGCCGACCTGATCTGCCGCTTCGACGGCAGACGCGGCGGCCGCGCCGCCCAGCTCTGCCGAGCGGCCGCCGCCGGGGCGCCGGAGGCCCGAGGCTGGCGAGGAGGCCGAGGCGGCGAGACCTGTCCCTCTCCACCGCCGCGGGCCGGGCCCGTCCTGGGCCGAGGAGCGGTGCGTGCGCTCCCCTGGCCAAGCCTGGGAGGCGCAGCGTCCCACCGCTCCCGGGCCCAGGGCGGCGGGCCCGGCCGGCAGCGGTGGCCAGGTGCCACAGGTGGGCCTCGAGGCGGCGGGAGGCCCGCTGGCGAGGGCGGCGCGGCGGGGCCCGCGGAGGCCGGGCGCTGGGCGGCGGCGCCGGCCGGGGCAGCAGGGGCCGAGGGTGAGAGTGCGCGGGCGAGCTCCCGCGGGGTCGGCGAGGACACCGCGGGGCGGCCCCGCGGCGCTGCGGCGGCGGCGCCCGAGGGCGCGGGGGCCCGGGCGCCCCAGGGCGCGCGCAGCGCGGCGGCCTTCGGCGCGGGCGCCGCTGGCGCAGGGCTCGGGCGAAAGTCGGCTGCGCGCAGAGGGGCGTGCCCATCGGTCGTTGAAGGTCGGCATTTCTGGGTTCCCAGGTTCCAGTCTGCTTTGGGCGCCTCGCTGCTTCAAGGATCGAGTGGCGTCACCTTTTCCGTCCTCCTTGGGGGGCGGGCGGGGCCCAATCCATTCTCAGCGCCTTCCTACTTCATGTTTCGACCTACCTCTTCCGACCGATGGGCAGGGGTGGCGGGGGAGGCTTCTTAGAAGCGCCCCTGCTTCTCAGAGGGCGCGGGCCCTATCCATAGATTAAGGCCGGCACTAAGAAGCAGCCTCCTTCTGAGAAGCCTCCCCCCGTCACCCATACCCCCGGCAGGAGCAGCAAGCCATGATAATGGTACGTTCCAAGATTTCCCGGGTGTCCAGGATACCCCATATTCCCTAGTATTATGCACCAGCTGCGCCGCTAGATTCTTTGGCGCATCCTGGGCCAATCTCATCATGACATCACTCTCGGCCTATAACCGGTTCGGGGCGATCGATGTGGGTATGGGGAATGGGCACGAAGACCGACAGCCGTTCCTGCTCATTTGAACAGGACCCACTGTCGATGTCGCCGCGGACGCTGTCCATTTGAGGTAGAAGGCCGCCTGCCCAACAGCGGCCGCTGCCGGTCTTGGACAAAATCTGTTGTTGGTTAGTGTGCCAATGTGTTCGTATCATTTCGGGCGTCCCAAGCTGTGTTTTGGCAATTTCGTGGATCGTGCTAGAGTTGTTGTTACGTTTTGCGGCAACGGCGGAGCGAAGGCAGAACGAGGGAGAACGAAGACGGAGCGAACGCAGGTCGGGGCCCCCGAGACCAGGACTCCGCCTCGCGAGCCAGGACCCTCTCGCAGGTCGGGGAAGCGACGAGCCCAGGCCCAAAGCCAGGACTTTGGCGGGTCGTGCCCCCGACTTGCCGCAGTCTTGGCTTCCAGGGGGCACGCACGGGGGCGCGAAGACGGTCGCGCGCCGCGCGTCGGGGCATTGGCCCGAGCGGCTGCCCTCGTCCAGGGGGGGGGGGGGCGGCGCGGCGGCGCGGAGAGAACCGCGCGGTGCGCATCGCGGAGAGAGCGGTGCGCGAGATTGGGCGGCGCAGGGTCTGGCAAAGAAGCGTATCCTTACCGATCCCTCATTAGGGGGACGAAGAATGACATAAACATATGAAAACTCGGAGGTCCGCGCGGATTTCTCGGATCGGCGCTGGACCCCCCTGACGGCGCCTCCGGCGCCGCCCCTGGCGCGCTCCGCGCGCCAGGGAGGGGGGTCCAGCGCCGACCAAAGAAATCCGCGCGGACTTCCGAGATTTTATGTTGATGTCATTTTTCGTCCCCCTACCCATGTGTCAGGCGATCGCAGACATGGATCAAGGGGGCGTGGATCAGCGACGGGTCCCGTTTCCACAGGAAGTCGCGGATTTCCGCCGCCGGACGAGGCGGCACAGGCCGCATTTTGGGGGAGGCGCCAAATCCATGGATCGCTAATACATGTTTGCGCGCCCCCGAATGTGTGGCATCACCTCACCATCACCAGGATCGTCATCGCCCCTGGGCTTGGCAAGCTCGCTTCGCTTCTGGGCATGGCAACCTTCGGGCTGAGGAGAGGTTCGTGACGCAGGCTCTGGCAAAGTCTTGGTTTGGAGGGCCCCCATGCAGGCAGCGAGCCGGAGGCGGCTCCAGAGGCGGGCGGGCGCCGCGCCGCGGCGCGCGGGGAGGCCCCTCTCGAGGGAGAGAAAAATGCGGCGCAGGAGTGCACACGGTGGGGGCGTCTGTGAAGGGATGCGCCCGGAAGGCTGCAGACCTTGGAGGATTGGAGCGGCCCTACGGCCGGAGCCGCCGACCCTGAACGACGACGACGACGACGACGACGACGACGACGACGACGACGACGACGACGACGACACCCGCGGCGGCGGCGGCGAGAGAGAAAGCGGCACAGGAGTTCGCACGGCGGTGGCGTTTGTGCAGGTATGCGCCCAGAAGGCTTCAGGCCCTCGAAGAAGAAAAAACGGCATAAGCCTAAACGGTTGGCGCTCCGCGCGGATTTCTTGGATCCGCGCTGGGCCCCCCTCCCTGGCGCGCGGAGCGCCAAAAGTTTCTTCTTATGCCGCTTTCTCTTGTCCGGTGCGCGCGGGGAGATCTCGCGGGAGGGCAAGCGGCACAGGAGTTCACACGGTCGGGAACCTTCCAGGAGTGAACAAAACACAGCGACACAATGAATCGTATATTCCCCAGGAAATCGGGGAAAATATTGGAAGAGCGGCGATGCACACGACCAATCCAAAATTTTCAAAAAGATTGGGAATCTTGGGATGCGTATTCCTGTTCATATATTTTTACAGGGCCGGGGACCCCGGAAAAGCGGCACACGGTGCCCCCCCCCCCCCCCCCAAACGAATTTCGGCCTCCCCGAGCCTTTGGGGCGCTCCTGCAGAGTGCTCCGTGTTTGTCCTGCGAGTGCGACGCGAGAAAAAAACCCCCACGACGGCCAAAGAGGGCCCCGAGACACCCAAAGATCTGCCCAAGACGCCCAATCTGGGCCCAAGACTGCCCAAGACGCGTCCAAGACGCCCCCAGAGACCCCCAAGAGGCCTCTCAAGAGAGCCCCGAGAGGCTACAATTGTTGATTGTCCTGTGTGTTTTTCTATGTGTTTTGCCCTCTCGCTTTTCCCGCTTCCCGACGCTCCACAATGGCCCAAGAGGCTCCCTAGATCGCCCCAGTACTGCCCAAGAGGCCCCCAAGAAGGCCCCAACACGGTCCAGGAGGGCTCCGAGACCGCCCAAGAAGCGCCCAAGACGGCCCAAGAGAGCACCAAGACGGCCCCAAGAGAGACCCAAGAGGGCGCCCAAACATTCAAAAACTATGTTTTCCGCCGCGAGAGGGCCCCAAGACGCCCGGAGAGAGCCCCATGAGGCCCCAAGAGGCTCCCAAGAGGCCCCAAGGAACCCCCAAGAGGCCCCCAAGAGGCCCCAAAAAGATCCCAAGAACCCCAAAACACCCCCAAGAGGCTTCAAAACTGCCTCCCAGAGGGCCCCGAGAGGCGCACCACGAGATCCCAACACAGCGGTCTCCCCCTCTCATTCTCCCTTCTCTTTGTCGTCGCCTTCGTCGACGTCGTCGCTGTCGTATCAAATGGCGCAGCGAGGCCATTCTTCGTTCAAACCACCGAAGGACCCAAGAGCTCCTCCTCCTCTTCCTCATTCTCTTCCTCCTCTACCTCCTCCTCCTCCTTCTCCTAATTCCCCGTGGTGTTTCACGTTCCGCCCCGCGAAAGGTCTAGCAGAAGCAGCTCCCCTCACTCTCCCAAGTCTCTGCTGCGGATTTCCTCCGCGACACCTCGGCTGCGCCCCAGATATCCACATAACCTGTCCTCTTCATCCTCTTCCTCCTTTTCCTCCTCCTCCTCTTCCTCCTCCTCCTTCTCCTCATCCTCTTAGCCCCTTTGCGCTCGAGTAGCGTTGCAGGAACTGTTCTTCAAAGGGGCGCGCGCTCCTGCGAGCCAATTTTGCGTGGCGACAAGATTCCCGCCGTCGTCCCAGAGCCAGCATGGCCCCGATTGCCTCTCGAACTGCGCGCTGGAACGATGGCTGGCCATGGCAAGAGCCAGATCGCTCGTTCTTCTAGCACCGCGGGAACACTCCGTCGTCGTGGAAGTGCTCGCAGTGCGGATGCAAGAAGAACAGGCAGCAGTGGCAGCAGTGCAAGCACTGCTGGTCCTGGCGCAGCTCGCCGTCCTTCGACATGCCTCCCTCGCCGCAGGGGGTCTGGCAAGGACAGTCGCAGCAAACAGGGCCTCAGAGTGCTCAGCCTCCTCCTGGTTCTTGGTATGGCTCGCTTCCTGCGCAGCCAGGCCCGTTGTTCCAGCAGTCAGGAGGGCCCCTCCCGCGCCCTGGAGGGGCCATGGCGGAGTCGGCCAAGCTCAGCGAGGTCATCGCCTACATGCGCTCAGTGGGTGACTCCGATGGCGCTGCCAAGTACCAGAAGACCCTGGACTCCAAGCACGTGGTGCAGAAGGTCGAACCCCCACTCCAGCAGCAGGTGGGTAAGGCCTTCCACGACATGCGGGCACTGGAAGGCAAGCTCAGCAAAGCAGTCACGTACTTCGAGAGGCTCCAGAAAGACCTGGACGCCCAGCGCATTGTGGTGCAGTCGTTCACGGAGGAGCTGTCCAAGGCTGAGCAACGCCACAAAGGTCTCGTTCAGCAGCTGGCCGAGCATGTGGGTGGCGAAGTTTCTGGAGAACAGCAAGCATCAACTCCTTCGATTCCTATCGAGGACATTCTCCAGGGCAAAGAGCTGCCTATCAATTTGGACTCGCCGTTGGCTCCCGAGGCTGAGTATGACCTCTCACCTGAGGACAAGAAAGAGGCAGAGATGCGGCTCAAGACGTCGCAGCAGTCGAGTGCCAAGCAAGTTCAGCAGCTACTTGGTGCAGCTGCTGAGCAGGCAGCCAAGTTTCGCGAGGATCAGAAGAAGCAGTTGGAACGCCTGGCAGGCGAGCGTCGTCGCGTCGCTGAAGGAGGCGATGAAGATGCAGGGGCAGAAGATGCACCAGCAGCTGACGGTGACGGCAATGGAGCTGCTGTACCCGAGTCGGCGCCTGGCACCCCCGCAGGTGGCGGTGAGCCTGCTGGGCAGCCAGCCGCTGCTCCTGGAGCCGCGACCGCGGGCCATGCTGATGCCGAGGATGTCCGCGCCCGAGCTCGCCGCGCGCTTCATCGAGCTTCCCCCCCTCCAGGCGCGTCGGCGTGCAGGGGGGATGCGATTTCAGCAACATCAAGCTCCTCAGCGTCGTGCTGGACATGCTGACCTGACAGCCTCGCCAGGCCCAGCTGCCAGCTTTCCTTTTCCGTCGGACCAGGGCCTGGATGGCCCCACCTGCTTTTGGAATCCTCCTCGTGAGTCTCATCACTCGGAGGGCCCTGAGGCGGCGTCCCCTTCTCGTCCCCGCGTTGCGTCCGTAGCGGTGTTGAAAAA